AAAACCCTGTGATATACCAAATCGTACATCGCTCGTGCCATTGCGCAAAGACAGACGCGACAAATTTAATATTTCTCTAATAAAAATCGATAATAGCCCTTAAATAAAAGTGTTAAAGTTGAAATTAAAGAAGTTGATGGTAAAGATATGTTTGTAAGAATACTACAGCTTTACGTCAATGCAATGGCTTCAGAGTTGATATTTAACGACTGGCCTATAATTTATGTATACGGAATTAAAACTTATAGTTTCTAAGCTGTGTCGAAAGATAGTGGTTTTTAATGATTGTGTGTTTATTTTAGATTAAGATAAGATTGGCTTTGACAATTTTGATGAGGTTTTGGATTTGGGAATGGGTTGAGAGGAAGCGTGTTTTATGAGTTCTAAACGTCACATATTAGTAATAATGTTTAGTTTTAATTACGTGAATGAAATTTCAATGTTTAAATTTATTTTAATCTATTTTTATGATGTAACATGAAAAAGAAAAAAATGTGAACATTTTGAATACTATACTTTGGCTATTTCATTAGTTTATTTTTTAGCTTATACCTAGTGCTGGAAATCATGAGTAGGTACATGAGTTGTAGTTTTTAAAGCCAATTTTTTTTTATTCAGGATTAAATAATTTTTTCTTTTTACTGAACGCCACAAGTTTACTACCAGTTCGGGAAGGAGAAGCCTCCCAGAAACCTAAGAAGAACTGGCGAAAAAAACTCGTTCTCTGATAAGGTCAAGAAGAGATTGGGGTTTTCAGTAAAAAAGTTATGAGTAGCATCTTAGATTCATTAAAATAGTAGTATATATTTGCAGTACATGTAAAAATAAGTTCTACACTAACCTTTTCCTATCGTGCTATTCTGTAAGAAATTTTCAACTACTCGAAAGTGATTTCGTGAACATAATTGAGCTATACCGCGGGTTCAGCTATCGAGTTACATATAAATTTCCGAATAACCCTACTCTGATGTTAGCAAAAATTGTTGTAGAATATCCCAAATTTATAATCAACTGAGTTATAGTTTTATTATAATATGTATGGATTAAATGAAACTTTCTTATTGAGATGTATTGTGTATTAGGCTTAATATAAGTGTAGGCTAATGAACGATAAATAAATTTTAAATGCCATAGCCTAGATTTTTTATTTTATTTCCCTCTGACTATTATCCCATTGCAAAATTATTGGTAAACGCTTCTATACAGTAAATCGATATCTGTCTAAGCTTATCTTGATAATGAATCGATTTCTTCACCAAGGTAACACACCGAGCCTAGGGGCATCCCTAGTTGACATAAGCTATAGCAATTGCTAACTCCTGCAAAGGCCTGAGGCGTCAATATCTAACATCTGTTCTTACTACAGGATACTTCGTATTATCGTAGTATACTATCAGTACTGTAGTTAGTACAGGTAATGATGCGTTTTCATGTATACAAATATAAGCAGGTGAAATTTTAATGTTAGTTTATTTGTATAAAGGACAATATATAAATCTATTAAAGTGATTATAATATATTTTTTACAAATAGAAAGCTACCCAGTCTTCATATACCTTTACCATTTTATACTTATTAGTTAACTATCTAAGCAGAGCTGTACGCAAAGTATACTATATTAACATACATGTTAAATAATATGTAAATCTAAGTAAAAAAGCAATAGGATTTTTGCATATTAGATAAAACAAGCGATTCATTCCCTTATTATATTCCTTATTTTTGGTCATTATATGGCACCTGTGAAAATATAAGCCCTGGCATATGAAACTGAAACAATATTACTACGGTAATAATTCATCTATCGCGTATAAATAATATAATATTTTATGAATATTAATATTATACGCTTTCGCTAACGATTATCGTCTAGTGACTCAATTACGTCTCGCTACTCGTAGTAGAGGCTCTGATTTACGGCTCAGGTCATAGAATACGACGTATAGTAATACTATACATCAGTCAAAGTAGTATACAAATTGTCTATCGAAGGAAAATGCATTCAAACGATAAAACAATATCTATGAAATGAGCCTATAGCTTAATGTGCCATTGTGGGAGCTCACAATGGGTGAACGAATATATATCTATGTGCTATATTAACATATATTTATTATTAGACTTAAAGAATTGTTGAGAGTTTGGATGTTTGGGTGTTTGTTACTCAATCACGCCAGAACAGCTGAACGGATCTAGATGAATTTTGGCACAGACATATATTATAGTTTGAAATAAAACATAGGTTGGTTTATTCACAGAAAAATATGCAATTCCAATGGGATGGATTTGTCTTTGTTTTTCACATAACAAGGGATTAACTATCTATTTCATACTAACCGCTAAAAAGTCTAGGGACGAACCCGAGCGAATCGAGGGTGAGTCGCTAGTTAAGTAATAATTATTAAGACTAGTGGACAAAATCCGATTATTTTTTTTTTATTGATAACACTAAAGCTCAATAGTAAGTAAGCAAAAAAAGAAAATTGGTTGACCAACAAAGGAGAAAACAGCTAACTGTTTTTTCTCTACCTGCTTGCCTTTTTAGTGGCCTGGCTTGTTCAGGCTAGTGATTTACTCTCGCTTTACTTGGGTGACTCTAGGTACGGATAATTCCGTAATACATTGTTTTTATATAACTCTATTAGTTCACGCAGAGCACGCCCCCAGTCGACATGATTTTTTCCGACATTTCTAAAATCATATTTCAGCCAATTTACATAAAACCTTAATTAATTATACACCTAAACCTTCCTCATGAACCACTTCATCCATCAGTTAAAACCCTATAAAAATCCATTGCGTAATTTTTGGGTTTATCACGTTTAGACAGACAGACGACAAACAAACAGATGCGGAAGGGGGTTTTGTATTGTAATTTGTAGCGATAAATGAATCATGAATCATACATTGTCACAGTATTTTTAGGTCCCTAGTTTCATTTTAAGAAAATAAGTAAAGAAATTGGACCAGTATAATTATTCTGAAAGGCACCTCGGGACGCACTCAAGCGAAGCGAGGGTAAGTCGCTAGTATGTAATAATTGTAATTTGACACGTATGTTCGCGCATAACGCATAAACCAGTGAGCCGTTGTAAAAAGACTGTACGGAGCTTTAAGGTTTAGTTACAGCGTATAGTAATAATAAATAAAAACTTATTAAAATATTTTTACTTAAAAAGAAAAGTTTTTCGTGAATTTTGTGGGTTATAGGGTACTTGTACTTTTGATAATGAAAATTGAATCTGAAAAATTATTAGATTAAATATATTTAAATAGAGTTTGGGCACACGGTTAAACATAACAAGGGACGAACCCGAGTGGAGTGAGGGTGAGTCCATAGTTAATAAATAAAAGCCCCGAAAAATTATCTTAGTATAAAATTTACAGTAATTTGAGAAACATTGCATAAATTGTCTTTTAACTAAAACTTATTGTTAAATATAACATTGTAAAATATCCATGGAATTTAAAAAATCAATACCATTATAAATATTATGAAGTCATAAGCAAAAATAGTTCTCGATAAAACCACTCGTTGTAGGTTGTACCGCCCACGTAACCTACATACATATTAAATAATAAAAACTTACGGGCCCATTAAATTTCAATATTATTTTTAAAATGATATTCTGCACTCGAAATGAATAGTAAATGACCAACCAATAGCTATCGAAGCAACTTTGTTTCGAGTCAATGTGCACTATTCTAAAAACCGGTTTCAAACCGCTTCTGCTTTTCTCTGCCTGCAAAAGTTCATATGTGTATACTATGGCATAGTGAGGTTCGTAATACTATAGTTCAGGTATGGTACAAACTACGTAAATAAAAGTGAAAATAATATATTAATAATAATTAAATTATATACCAGTAATAGGTACGTATAAAGCATCTGGGCGACCGAACTTAGAGCCTTTTGTGAAACCGTAGTTTTTTCGAAATAGAGGTAAAATTGTATTTTCTTTGCAGAAATTACATCTAGGTATATGTATAGATAAACTCAAAAAGCAAGATTTTATCTAAATACAAAATTTGATCCAAATCGTTAGAGCCGTCTCCGAAATAAATATGTATAGATTCAAGAATTGCTGATATAATATTATAAGATAGATAGTAATGTATAGCTCAGTTTATATAACTTACTAACATTGGCCGCGGCTTCGCCCGCGTTCAGATGACCAAAAACCAAATTCTTAGGTTTTACATATTAGTATACTCTTACATTACGGTTTTTGTTTTTTTTCCCAGAAATGAGATATTTTCCCGCGGTAAAAAGTATCCTATATGTTGACCCGGATAACCAGCTATCACCATACCAAATTTTACCAAAATCTCTGGGTGAGTCACTAGTACCTAATCTCAGGAACAGTAATCGTAATTATAAAGCAAATCAAGAATAAAAAAAAACTGATACATAAAGAAAACTTCACTTATTATTCCACCTATAGCAGTTACAAAAAAACTACAAACAAACATAAAGCTGATTTGACTTACTCCTCCTTTCTGAAATCGGTTAAAAAAATAATAATTGCCAAATTAGGAACCTCTGTTTTGATCTCGTTTAAGAATATATCTAACAATTTCATACTTTCAACAAAAACGCTGTTCGCTCATATATTACAACAAATAAGAAGACAGTAGCTGTTCCCCTCAGGCTAGATATTTCTTAAGTTTCCTGGTGGCTTGGAATTACGTTTATTTCTGTTCTACGTAACTCGAGTTTTTAGTTAAAGTTATGAAGGACAGCATATTCTAAATAATGATGGTAAAATAACTGTTAATAATACATTTTAGTATAGTATCGAATAATTAAATCTAAAAAGGTACTCTTACTTCAAAATTGCTTTAAAAGTAATTATCTATACGGCCGATTTTTTCCTTGAATTTTATATATAGGTAATTTTATATATGTTTATATTATTTGTTTCAGTGAAATAGTGGCTATCATGTAAGGCTGCAGATCCGGAGGTCTTAGGCTCGAGTCCCTGGTTGGGCCAAGTTTAATTACTGAGTTTTTCTGTTAAGATCTTCTCAGTAGTGATTTGGAGTTGAGAAATTGGCGATGTGGTGAGGCACTTCCGTGCCTTGGAGAACACGTAAAGCCGTTGGTCCTGTGCCTTGAGTTTCACCGGTCGTGTCGGGCAGTCGTCCCACCGGAGTATGAGAGTGACAGGAATAGAGAGTGCACTTGTGTCTGCGCGCACACGCGCTTCACTATCATATCTTCTGCGCAGACGGCTAGTCTCAATGAGATAGGCCGCCGTTGCCGAAATTGGTCGGGAAGACATGACTATCATTTTAGTACATTCGATTATTTCTTGAAATTCATATATATTTATATACCTTCGTGGTAACCTATGATCTATTTATTTAAAAAATGAGTGTGTACTTGTATGTGTGAATGTATGTTTTCTCTTTACTCTGAAATGGCTAGACCAATTAATATTAAAAGAAGACAGATAGATTACAGATTACATACGCTACCAAAGGAGGCACACGAGCGAGTTCATATTAAAAACTATTGCATACATAAAGTATCATTATCTTTATCACTCATTTTTAATAATATGATTTTTTCCATATTTTTTTTCCAGATTAATTTGAAATCTTGAATCTTACATAATATTTTTTTTTAGTTTCTTGTATTCAGCCCTTTTTAACGTCCCACTGCTGGGCACGGGCCTTCCTTCAGCACGAGGGGAATCAGGCCATAGTCCACCACGCTAGCCAAGTGCGGGTTGGCGGACTTCACATGTCTTTTGAAAACTTGCTAGGTTCTCTCAGACATGCAGGTTTCCTCACGATGTTTTCCTTCACCGTTAAGACAAGTGGTAATCATGTTGGAAATGATTCGCACATGAAAATATCAGAGGTGCGAGACCCGGGATTTGAACTCACTTCATTCGGTTTCCCAAGCGAGCGCGTTACCACTGGGCTACCACTGGCTTCAAGTTTAGTTTATTATTTCCATCTATTAATATTAATAACAAGGATTTAAGAGGAAAATAATATAATATTTTGTAATTGCATTATTACAAGTTAATTGCGATGTATTTTAATTCAGTGTTTATACTACAAATATGTATTTGTATCAACAATTGTGGTATTTATAATTATGAAATAAAATAAGCGCGTTAAATCTGTCAATATTTTTTTTAATTTATATTTATTAAGATGTTTAAGATAAAAAATTAATGTAAATCTTTCGAAGTCCCTATTCATGAAAAAGTATATATATATAAATAAACTTATTGAATTTTCGTGTGTTTTTATTTCGCTTTTTTATTTCCAACGTTACGAATGCTTTACAGGAAATGGTCATAAAAAAAATTAAAGTTTTTGAGTCTCAAAACGTAGTTATTACTGAGGGTCTATCAAAGTTGAAAGTTGCAAAAAAAATATAATGTTTTTTACTTCCGTCTTCTTCTCGCCTTTAACTGCCTCGGTGGTGTAGTGGCTAGCACGTACGGCTGCACATCCGGCAAGCACGGGTCGTGTCGTACCATCGGAATTTAAGAGTGAGGGTTAAGAGTCTGCGCGTACACTTGTACACTATAATATCTCCTGCGCAGTTGGCTAGTCTAAGTGAGATTGGCTACCGTGCCCGATATCGTTCTGGAGGACATCATCTTCTCTACTATAAAAGCTCAACGCAGCTTATAATTTTTTGGAAAATATTGAATGGAGAACATAGAAAATCAAGAGATCATAGAAGACTACATCACTATAGTGCTAGTAATGACGTACCTTAAATAGACCAAATACATGAACTTCCTACTAGAAACGATTCATTTAAATACATGAATAAACATTAAACATATAATACATAATAATATATAATATTAGAATGTATAATAATAACAGATAAGTATACAAACGCGTGCATTGTGCATAAACAATATTCAGTGATAACTTACAACGTAGCGAGATAAGTGCATAGTACTACGCTTTATTGAATTCTGTTAAGGGCAAGTTGTGTATTTATTTTATATCGTCTGTGGTCTACAGTTTACAACTCCATAATGTCTACCAAGTTTTTTTTAACATCCCACTGTTGGGCATGGCTCCATTAAACGCGAGGGTTTACTGTCTTTGAAAAGAAGGAATAGTTAAATTCCGATATTTTTAATTATTATCCGAAAATCTACGTCATCAATGCTAAATCGAAACCCTTGAATTAAATAACCAGCAGCTGATCAAAAATAAAAACTTTGGACTTTTGGGATTAGATATCTTAACTTTCGCTTGTACCTATTAGTTAATGGACAGGATAAAAAACCTACATCTTACTTCGTGCTATACACTACGTGCATGCCTAATTTCATCAAGATTTGAAGCGCTTGAAGAGATAATAAACAAAATCAACGTACGTATTAATATAATTAGTAAATACTTTATTTTAAAGTAAATTATTTTTAACATTACTTAAAAATAAAATATAAATATAATAAAAATCTTTTAAATATGATAGTTCTGATATTTCTGTAGATATACACCATCAAACGAACGAACAAAAAATCATCAATGCAATATTTATTATAAACATAATTTATAATGTCTAACTTTAACGACACGTTTTGCTCAGTTTTTAGTGATCCTACTTGCTGTACCAGTGGACGCGGGCTCGAGTTCCGCAGGGGGCATTCATTTGTGTGATGAGCAGGAATGTTTGTATTCCAGTCATGGGTGTCTATATTTATAATATATATGTATCTAAAATTATATATGTGTAGTGCATCATCTATCTGGTACCCATAACACAGGTCCCGTAGCTTACCATGGAACTGGATGGTGCTGTGTGTTAATGTACCAACATATTATGTCTATTATTACATAATAAAACAAAATAGAAAAGGAGCCTTAAATTAAAAATTAAATACAAACAAAATATAAATTGAAATTGCGTTATAAGAGGAAACCACACAAAGGCGTGGACGATGGTTCATACAACTTATACAAATGATTCAGCTACATCACTTGACCTTATTTCCACATTCTGAATGACATTTTGTGTAATATAATTTTCTGTTTAGTTTGATTTGCATTTTAATATATTTACTACAACATATTTAGCATTTTGAATGTAATGAGTTAATATTAATATTGACTAATTAAATTAATAATAATAATAAATTAAAAAAAGAAGAATAATGCAAAGTTCTTAGATAATTGAGAGATATTTGTTATACCATTCTCAAGCTGGATATTTTAAATATGAAAATTATATTGCTGCACTACTTTTCAGTAAAAAGTAATACTTTTTAATAATAAATATAAAAGATTGCTCAATATCAAAGAATTAGCAAATTATTATAATAATAGCAGCACTTACCTGGGCAAGTTTTAAATATATATGAACAGGCTAATAATAGACAGCTTTTAGTCATGTAAATAAAAAAAACTTTTTCGTGATGTTTTTTTTTTATGTTTTAATAGTTATTTAGCTATTCGGTGCTAAATCCAACAAATCAAAGATCATCAAAATCGGTCCAGCGGTTCTTGAATTATAAATAGTCTAACTCGACTTTGTTTTACATATGCGGATGTTTTATATATAGTAGGTTATCAAGGATTATCAAGGAATTAAAATTATTTCACAATTATTTTGAAAAAGCTGCTCAGTGCTCATTGATTGTGACAGTAACTCACGCAGGTCGAGTCTAGATAGGACACTTTATTAGTCTCTCGAGTGTTCTCTATTAGACAATTTATATAATTTGTTCACTACTTTATACTGATTTGTAAATGAAAAGCTTATCGTCGATAGCCAGATTTATCGTAACGTTGAAATCAATGAGGCAGTTATGTTTATTTATAATAAAAGCATATATTAAATTTAAGATTGCTTTGGAATAATGACACTATACCAGTGGTTCAAGGTTTGAGCCCTATTTGAAGCAAATATTTGTTACTATACGGAAAATTGGCAATATATACTGATTATGGAAATTATAAACTTAAGGATAAACTATAGACTACTCGGAGTCCATCACAGCTCAATAAAATTGCTTATTTACACTATGACATTTTAATATGTACCTTTAGCAATAGGTAATGTTTTAATCAATCTACATAATACTATAAAGAGGAAAAATTTTTTTGTTTGTTTGTACCGAATAAGCTCCGAAACTATCGAACCGATTTAGATGAAATTTGGTAAGAAGAGAGCTTGTGGCTCTGGGAGGGGCATAGGTAGTTTCTATCTTGGAAATCATCCCTTAAGGGGGTAAAAATGGAGATGAAAGTTTGTATGAAATAAATAGAAGTGTTTGAAATGCTTCTATCATCTAGGCAATTTTAATAGCATGTCAAGCTAGTTGCTAGTACTTAATGGTCTGATGTATAAACGACAGACACACATCTAAATACAGCAAAGCAAAGATAACAAATCGTTCAAAGTTTCTTATCAATTATTGTCTAAACATTATCGCATGCAACAGGCAAGAAACAAGCCACTAATATAAATAATTAAATTCGATGCTACTGTTCTAACTTCTATCGAAGGTAGCTTTAGTAATAGTATATAAAGCTATTCCAATATTATATTAACTTTCAACATCGCGATCCGGTTGCGTCTGACCGCATAATATTATGTTTTACAGCCGCCAGACCGTTTGTTGAGACAACTTGCTAGTGTGGGGAAAATATCGTGATTTCCACACTTATTTTTTTTTTATTTTCCATTTATTCTAGTACTTATTTTAATGTTATTCGATAATCTAGTCTAGTCTTCTAAAACATCGTCGAATTGATAAACTTAAGTAAAAAAAAATTGGGATCTATACTATAATAATAATAAAGAGGTAAAGTTTGTGATTTTGTGAGGTTGTAGAGGGTAAACTCTGGATCTACTGAACCGATTTAGATGAAATTTGGTAAGAAAATAGTTTGAGATCCTGGAAAGGACATAGAATACTTTTTATCCCGGAAATCATCTCTTAAGGGGTGAAAATAAGGATGAAATTTTGTATTATTTTGTATTCGCTTGTTACCTATAAGTGTAGTAAATCAGGTAAGTTTGTTAGAATACTAAATCGTTACATCAATTTTGTTGTATGACAGTATCAATTATTTGAAAATAAATACTTAATTATATTTTTTATATTTAATTATATTTTATTATAGTATGATTATTTAATCTAACCCTGAGTAAAAACCGGTCAATTGCGAGTCGGACTCGCGCGCGAAGTGTTCCGTACCATCGTACAAGGTATAACACGATGTACTAATCTATTTTTTTAATTTGCATGACGGCCATTTTGAAATACGCCATCTTGGTTTTTTAATATTTGTTGTT